CAATAAGACTATGGAATCATCATTGGTCACTAAACTAGCCCCTAAACCAGACACTCAAGACCTAGAAACCTGAAATCAAGCAAGTAGCTTCTTTTGAAGACTCTTGCCCCTCTCATGCCAGAAAACAGACCCTTACACCACCTCCAAGATGTCCTCAGAAGTTGATGTACCAAAGCCCAAGGTGGCTTTGGTTTAACTACCTGTTATGCAGTTCTTCCCCAATGCCTGTCTTCGTGCCTACGGCGGACTTCTCAGCCCAGCCTGTGGTGGTAGGTATAGATCTTCCAGGCTCTGCCATGGGGCTCTGCATTTACTTCCCTTGTCAATAGGAACCCTGGTTCTCGGTCTAGATTCAGAGGCTTGTGCTCTTAGGGAGAGCCTTCCTTTTTCAAAAATTGTAAATTCTGTTGCCATTGAGCCAATTAATACAGGTGTTCAAGTAAACTTGGGTAAAAGTCCGTCTAACACTTTACAACAACTAGGGGACACCTGTCAAAAGAACAGCATTTCTTCTATCAACATACAGACAGATCTGATCTGTCTTACACCTCACAAAACTTCATGCCTTCTGCACAAGATTACTCTGTATCGTCTTGCTCTCAAACGGACCTGACATTCGGTTCTCAGGTCTCATTACCCATTAGTGTTCATACTCAGACATTTCCACCCAACCCTAAGGTTATGTCATCGACAATCACACAGACTGATGCCGTCATGGGTGTCTGTCTCCAGTCCACTGGGGTCTCCAGAGAAACGCAGACCAGTGGAATGCCGAGTTCTGCAGATGACCGTACTCAGTTGGACCAAGATGTAATGTGCAGAGACATCTTCGAGAGCATCCATTCATTGTACTGTGTCTCCACAGACAATATTATAAGCAACAGTTTAGTAGCAAACACTGTAACTCATGGCTTGTTACCTCAGGATGACCCAGACTCTAAATTAAGACGTGTAGAAATCTTGATTTAGTTATCAACTTCAGTGCACAGAACAGTATGCTTCCATCACAGAACATGACAGATAACCAGACCCAAACCATAGATCTGTTAAGTGACCTAGAAAACATACCGTCGAGTAGTCTTCCTGCTCAGATATTGAATAACTGAAGTCTCTTGTCTGACACAAACGCTGGGTCTGACACACAGCTCCCATCTGCTCCAGCTAAGAATCCAAGAATCGACTTTGATATTGAAGAGTTCCTTTTGGCATCAAATACCCAAACTCAAATGGAAGAGAGTGAACTTAGCAACATGAAGCCCGAGCTAGTCTTAGAATCACTGGATATAGAAACCCAAACAGACTTCTTACTTGCAGACACCTCTGCTCAGTCCTACAGTTGTAGGGAGAACTCTAACTTCTTAGGCCTTGAGATACACAGGCGCAGACAGACTTAAACTTTTTAGACAGTAACTCTCACCTGCCTCTGGGAAGTATTCTGAAACACTCCAGCTTTTTCATGAGTACGGATTCCTCGGATACAGAGACCCAAACAGAAAGGATCTCCGTTGCTAAAAGCATACCTCCACTAGAAAGCAAAGTGCAAGTGAATAGTACAGAAACTCAGACCATGCACTCTGGCTTTGAGAACTTGAGCAGTTTGTTCTTCACCAGCAATGAAACACAGACAGCTATGGGTGACTTTCTTCTGGCCAACGCGATGGAGTCTCAGTTCAGTTCTGTAGAAACCCAGACATGTGCGGAATTACACACCGTCTCCGACTTCTGAGCCAAGTTCCCACGTGGGTCCACATTTAGTTTCCTTCTGGGTTGAGAAAATGGGGAATAGGAACCACAGTCTAAACTGTTGAAGGTAGTTGATGATGCTGTTGCTTGAGGTTCGTTGCCTTTTGTACTTGTCAACCTGAATTTGTGTATAAATGTTGAGTGTATTATAAAGTGTAAGATGCTGATTTAAAAGTGCCTGTCTTATGTTGCCTATCACTGCCACCTCACAGCTAGTCTTCCCATTGTTTAAAAAAGAAAAAGTATTTCAAAGCTTTAAAAAACAATCTAGAGCCATGTAGCTGATACCAAGCTTACTCAGTAAAAGCATCCACACTTTTCCAATCTTCATATCATCTTAGTTGAAATGTTGAAAACATCGTAGTTAACATGTAACTTTATGTCATTGTTTGTTAGGAATCCCTGTCTCCTCATAACAATACCTAACACAGATTGAAACCACAGCACTTAGATGGTTTGAGACTCCTGTCACCTACAGCTTCATCTGCTTTAATATCACCCTTTTCTGATTTAAAGACGCAAAGGAAAACTACAACTGCCTCTGACTTTTGAAATACAGTCATGTGCCGTATAATGTCCATTCGGGCAACATCAACCCACATATGCATCTGTGGTTCCATAGAGTTCAGAAATCCCAATCAGAGAACGGGACACAGCGGACAGAGCCAGGCATAGTGACACAACAGCTTCCTGCATGCAGCACGTACATCTCCCATCTTGTACGTACAAACATGTATAGCCCACGTGCATGTATGTCTTGGTTATCATCACAAAATCTTATGCTAATGGCTTACTACGTACTGTACTTTCCATGGTGGTTTTCATGTGAACTTTTCCTACTTATAAATAAAAGTTTGTAACAGTGTAGGCTTAAAAAAAAAAAAAAGACGATAATGGTACTTCCCTACTTGAAATTCTCAGTAGCTCCCTATGTTGTTGTTGTTGTCAAGTGCCACTAAGTTAACTCTGACACTTACAGAGACCTCATGCACAATACCATGAAAAACACTGCCTGGTTCAGTGTCATCCTCACAATTGTTGTTGTATTTGAGCATACCATTGATGCCATTGTGGCATTCCATCTTGTTGAAGGTTTTCCTCTTTTTTCACTGACCCTCCACTGTACCAAATATGACATCCTTCTCCAGGGACTGGTACTTCCTAACAACATATTCAAGTATGAGAGAGATAAAGCCTCTTCACCCTCACTTCTAAGAAGCATTCTGTCTGCACTTCTTCTAAGACAGTTTGATCATCTGTCCATGATACTGTCAATATTCTCCTCCAACACCATAATTCAATGCATCAATCCTTCTACAGTCTTCCTTATTCACTGTCCAACTTACACATTCTTATGAGGTTACAGAAAATATCATGGCTTGGGTTGGCGCACGTTAGTCCTCAAAGTGACATCTTTGCTTTTTAACATTTTAAAGAAGTCTTTTGCAACAGATTTGTTTAATGCAATATGTCGTTTAATTTCTTGACTGCTGTTTCCATGAGTGTTGATTGTGGATGCAAGCAAAATGAAGTCTTTAGCAACTTCAATCTTTCTTCACTTATTATGATGTTATTTATTGGTCCAGTTGTGAGTATTTTTGATTAATTTACATTGAGGTACAATGTAAGGCTATAGTCTTTGATCTTTATTAGTAAGTATTTCAAGTCCTCTTCACTTCCAATAAGCAAACGTGTATCACCTGCATTATCGCTGGTTGTTAATGAGCTTTTCTCCAATCTGGATGCCACATTCTTCCTGCTTCTCACATTATTTTCAGCATACAGACTGAATGGTGGTTGTGTGCCATCAAGTCGGTTCTCACACATAGCGACTCTGTATAGTGTTTTGGAGTTTGTAAATCTTTACAGAGCAGAAAGTCTCATCATTCTCCCTCAGCACTGCTAGTGGACTTGAACTGCTGACCTTGCAGTTATTAATTCAATGTGTAACCCACTACACTACCAGAGCTTCTTCTATACAGATTAAATAAGTGTGGTAAATGCTCAAATTCTTCCTCACTTCTGTGGCATTACAATCCACAGGTCCTTTATTCCAGACATGCTATTTGCAGTTCCCTGAATGCATCATGCTAGTTCACTTTTCTCTGTCTCCTACTGCGCTTTCCCACCACTAAAAATGACCTTCACCTCTGTTCTTCCCCTATTTTATTGCTACTAATCCTTGTAAGGTCAGTTTAAATGTGCACCTACTCCAACAAGTCCATTTTCTTACATTGCACAACTGGACAGTTACGTCATTCATTCATTTAAGAAACAGTTATTGAGTGCTTACTATGTTGCAGGCTCCATGCTAGGTGCCAGGACCACAATGATAAGCCAAAAAGGCACTTGCCTTACCTTCCTGGGGATTACATTCTGATAGGAGAGAGACACCAATCAAATAATGACACAAGTAAAGAAGTAAGCACAAACTTACATGTGTACCATGAGACAGAAGTGTAAGGTGCTATGAGATTGAGTTTAAATACGAAGCACAGGAAGAGACAGTTCAGAATATTGCAGGTAGAGCGAATAGCATCTGAAAAAGCCATAAAGTTAATTGGATCTTGTTAAGAGTCCTGGTGTGGATCTATGGAATAAAGCACTGGATTACACGTTCAATTTGAACCACAAGGTCAGTGGTGCAAACTCACCAGCCACTCTTTGGAAACCCTATACAGGGTCACTGTGAGTTGGAATCGACTTGACAGCACTTAACAACAATAGATTTTAATAACTGAAAGGGCAAATGATTTATATCATAGGTGCCCCTCACGATTCTGTAAGCAAATACAATGAAACATGTGAGAGCTGGAACTCAACAGGACTGCTTTGTTGTTCCAGGTCTCACAGGTTTTCCACTTTGGTAGGGTATAGAGTCTTACCACGTTCCTATTGTTCATTTTAGTGTAAAATGTTTGAGTGGTCCTTCTCTGACAGCCATACACAAATTCTGACTTTCATAGGTTTTACTGGAGATGGCAAAACACTGTGATTGCTGTAAAGTGCCGGCAAGTCAGTTCCAACTCATAGCGACCCTGTACAGGATTTCAGAGGAACTGCTGGTGGGTTTGAACTGCTGACCTTGTGGTTCACAGTCCAGTGCTTATCCTACAGCTCCACACCAGGATTCTTACTCTAGGTTATTTATGTCTCTAGTACCTGTACTTGATTTTTAATAAATGAATGACTATATCCCATGTTTGAAAACTGAGGTGTGTGTATGTGTTTTATTGGAGAATTTAGCGTGCAAATACCTTGGCCTGAAGAACATTTGTTGCCACATCTATCACTGCAAGGCCTGTGGCTCCAGCTGCTGCCGTCACTAAGACAGTCTCTCTGTGGCAGAAAAAGACAAATGTTACTTCAAAAGCTTCCACAGACCATCCTGAAAGGTGAATTCAGGTACACTTTAGAGCTGGAATACAGCAAGCAAGAAGAGAACACCAAAGTCATTTCCTTCAACCTTTCACGTACATCCGTTCCTTGATATCAGGACTGGGTTATGGATGTGACTTCTAGACCAGTGCTAATTTGGTGTGGGTCTGAAGACTTCCAGGGAGAGTGAGTCCTTAGTTTCTTGCGGTAGCCTCTCCCTTGTGTTAGTTCAACCCTTCCTTTGAACTACTGCTCCAATTTCTGCCTCAGAAATTCAGTCCTAAAACTATTCTCATAATAAACACTACTCAATTAAACCCATCTCTTTGGAGCAATCCTGAGGCTCACACACACACAGAAAGAGGTAGTATGTATGCTCATGGAAAAGTAGAAAACTCCAACAGCTTTGAGTTTGAAATGGTCAAGTTGGGCATATCCAACTCAATCTCACTGAGATACAAATACCACAAGCCTCCCATTAAAAACCAGAGCAAAGTGATTTTCATCACACCAGTTCGCTAAACTTAAAGGTTTTGCACAAGGTGTTCTTCAGATAGATCAGGTTTGAGAGAGATAATTTTCCAAATTCTTGCTGGTGAAGTTCACAATCTACCATTCCCTCCAGGCAGAAGGATGACCCCACAGTGAACAGACTCCAGACCTGGCCTTTAATCAGCCAAACTGAACAGAACCTGAAGGATGGGGAAAGGAAGGAGCCAGGGTCTGGTAGGCATTTCTGGGATAAGAGGGTACCAACTAGCCCTGTACTGTCTCTACAACCCTTACCCAGGCTGGGTACGGGCCCGATGTTCCAAGGCCAAAATAGCAGTGCCATAAGATACAGGCAGGGCAGCAGCTTCTTGGAAGGAAACCCTTTCTGGAATCTTCCACAGTGTCTATAAAAAGAAATAACAATGACTTGGTTCAAACTCATGTACCTGGTCTGAAAGGTTGCTCAGTAAACAGTATAGCTTGACTGAGTGAGTGGTTTGCAAAGGAAAATATACGCCAGTAACCAAGCCCAGTAAAAATCAAGACCAAATAATCTCTGGCAGGGTTCATAATTTGGCTATAATAAGATTCAAAAATCCTAAGGATAGCAATTGGCTCAGGAAAGAGGCAACTTATGGAGAATGGAACAAAAGACTGTCTCAGCAAAGCTGTGGGGGGGGGGGGGGGGGGGGGGGGGAGAGTTGTATATGTACACCACTAGGGGGCACCATTCATATTTTGCACAACCCTACCAGGCCACCCAGGCTGGCTCCCTTCCCAGGGCTATCTCTTTCACAAGCTTCAGGCTAGGGAGAAGCCCATTACATTCAGCTCAATGCCCCAAACCAGTTTTTCTACCAAAACTACCTAACTATAAGTCCAATTTGGAAAACAGCCAATTGCTCCAGGACTCAGAAAACAAAATATCCTCTTCATTAAGTCACTCCACACAAACAAACTCTGTGCAAGGGTTGTCACACTTAGGGTTTAGCATTTGAAAGAAAGACAGAAAGACATGCTTGGCTGAGAAATAAGATATGACCAAATTAATACAAAGGGTCCTGGTGTGGCACTGTAGGATAAGCGCTTGACTGCTAACAGCAAGGTCAGTGGTTCACACCCACCAGCTGCTTCCTTGCTTTGAGTCAGAACCAACTCCAACAGTACTAAACAAAAACAATACTAAGAAGAGGAGTCTGGGAGGACAGGTAGAAATTTAAGAAAGAAAAGACATGAGAAAATATTCTCCAAACACTGATAATGAGCAGTAGGAATACCTTCTGGTGAGTAATGCATTCTTCAGCCATACCATAGAAGCCACTAACACCAATAACCCGATCCCCCTGAAAGGAACACAGCATTAAGGGTTCGTTCAACGATGCAGACTTGCCATCCACCTCTTCCTAAATTCATAAAGAAAACAACCACAAAGCCCACATCTAATTATTTATTCAGAGTGAATTGTTTTATAAATAAACTAACCATTTTCTCAATGCCCCACCAGAGTGACAAACCAATCTGAGTAATCTGAAAAGGTTGATATGAATCAGAATTCCAGTGGTAACTTCTTTCACAAGAGGTTAAAACTTAGAAATGTCCAACTCTCTCAATCACTAAAGATGGAGGTGCTGCCCTTTATTCACAATAAAAAGTTTAATGAAGCCAGGAACTTCCATAGCTTCCTTCCCCCTATTCAGAATGAGTTTATCCCCCCTTCCTCTTGGTTTCCCTTTACTGTCTCCTGGCAAAGGCCAGGAGAACCAAGACTGCTCCTCACCTTTAGTGCACTGCTGCTTAGCACATTTCTCACAGCTATACACACATCGATTCCCTAGATTTCAAGGAATTTACCTCTTTCACTGTGCTGACATCTGTGCCTATGTCCAATACTGTGCCAGAAAATTCCATTCCTAAAACAAATTGTTTAAAAGATTAGGTTCTCTATAAGCATAGCACAGGGAGATGAGAAAATCCTAATCAATGGGCCACCACCCCACACCCAGGGTAAAGAGTATGTTGTACCCAAAGCTAGAAATGTGGAAGATTTTATGATCCTCTAGTCCTGGAGTCCTGGTGTGGCGCTGAGGGTTAATACACCAGACTTCAAAGCCGTTTAAACCGCAAGGTCGGTGGTTCAAGCTCACTAGCTGCTCCTCAGAAACCATATACAGGGCCACTATGGGTTGGAACCGACTCGATGGCACTTAACAACAATTTATTGTAAGGAGCCCTGGTAGTGTAATGGATTACAAAGCTGGCTGTTAACCACAAGGTCAGTAGTTCAAAATTGCCAGTCACTCTGTGAGAGAAATATGAGGTTTTCTGCTTCCGCAAAGATTTACAGTCTGAGTAACCCTATGCAGTGTCGTACGAGTCAGAACTAACTCGGTGGCACACAACCACCACCACCACTATCACTTCTTATTATGACACAATGGAAATTTCAAAAATGTACAAAAGCACACCAATTAGCAGGTTGTAAATGTCCTTTTCAGTGTCATCTCTGGGGTCGTATGCTTTCCGAACATCCCAATTACAAAGTTTATCATATTGTACTTACCCATACCTCCTCTGTTGGACTACAAGGCCCAAAAGGACACGACGATATTTATTCATACAGTACCTGGTTCAGTTGAATGAAATGATATTGCCTGTCCTTTCCTCTTCTACCTCTGAAATTTCTGAATTTAATGATCATGCATTTCCCACTTAGGCTGCCAGAGGGATAACTAAACTAAGTATGACATCTTCCACCCTACCCAGCACGTCAGAAATGCAAACAGGGAAGTGGTTCTAATTACTGTGGAACAACCAAACACTCTAAGGCCAAAACACAGCTGATTATTATATAATCACTGCATCCTTCATAGTATATATATGTAAATTGAATATACAAGAGGACTTCAAAAAGCTTATAGAAAAGCGAAATTGAAAAATAATGCCATTTTTCAACAAACATTTTGAATCCCCCTCGTATGTGTACTGTATACTTGCTAAACTATACTTAATGTTGTTGTTAAGTGCCATCAAGTTGGTGCCAACCCATAGCGACCCTGTATAGGGTTTCCAAGGAGCAGCTGGTAAACTTGAACTGCCAACCTTGTGGTTCAAAGTGACTTTGCAGTCCAGCGCATTAACCCACAGCGCCACACCAAAACTTTACTTGTAGGTTAAGTAAATTTAATTTAAAAAAAAAAAGTAATTTGCATACATATTCATAATCTAAATGCACTAAGATTGGGACTAATGAAAATCAGGCATTGGACTCCTAAGAAAGATATAAACTCTTCTATTTTTTTCTTTCTGTTGTTAAGTGCCATTGAGTCAGTTCCAACTCATAATGACCCTGTATAGGGTTTCTAAGGAGCAGCTGGTAAGCTTGGACCATCAACCGTGCAGTTCAAACCAACCTTGTAGTCTAGCACATTAACCCACGGCATCACACCAGAACTTCACTTTTTCTTTCTAATCCTGTGACATTAGGTTTCTTTGGAAATGTGTTTGTGATGACTGAAGTTTTAGCTGCAAACGGATGTTCCTGATCCTTAGGTGAGCAACAAAGTTGCAGACACCATGAAGGACGGGAAGGGAATGACAAAGGTCACTGATGGTTTAGAAAAGCAAAATTCTGGTGAACATAATGACATCTCCAGTGCAGTGAATTACTCCTATGGCTCTTCTAGTCATAGTCTTTATGGTAGTGGTGGTGGTGTGCTGTCAAGCAGGTTCCGACTCATAGTGACCCTGAAAAAGGGTTTCAGAGGCTGTAAAACTTTATGGGAGCAGAAAGTCTCATCTTTTTCCCATGGAGTGACTGGCAGATTCGAACTGCTGACTTTGCACATGTAACCCACTATACTGCCAGGACTCCTTATACACTTTGTGGCTCCCACCAAACAATTTTTTTCATGATGGGTCTAGGTAAGAGAAAGTGGAAGATGATGCTGATAGGATGATATGATTCAGTTGTGAATGACTGCTAACAGAGTTAATTGTGTTTATAAAAACTTAGAAATCTGACAAGGGAATTGGTCAATTTTGTCATCCTGCTAGGTTTAAAAGGAGCCATCTCAGAAGCAGGATAGGGGGGAATCTCATTAACATCAAGGAAGAAGAACCAGGAATGGAGCACATTCTTTGGACCCCAAGATCCCTGAGCACTGAACGTCCTTGACCCAGGGACAGAGAGCTGTGACACAGAGGAACGGCAGAGCAACAGCAGCAGTAGAACCAAGAATCAGAGCATCGGACAGCACATTGAGCTTCCCAATCCACAGAGCAAGTAAAGCTATGTGGCTTTGGGTAGGAGGCACACTTGTAGAATGGGGTGCCTCCAGGCACTTAATTGAGGAGCTAAAGCTGAGGCTAACAGCATAATGGAGAGTCCTTTGGCATTCATCAGCAATTCTTAAAAAAAAAAGCTTTGTAACATTGCTGGAGCAGAGCAGAGGCCAGGCCAAGGAGCTGAGGGCCAGAGAGAGGCCTGCCTATGATTATGGCTGAGTAGAGGCTGTCCTGACTGGAAGAACTGTGCCCTGACCATTTCTAACTCTGAACTATAACATGTTGTTGTTGTTAAGTGCCATCTAGTCAGTTCCAACCCACAGAGACCCTGTATAGGATTTCTGAAGAGTGACTGGTGAGCTTGAACCACTGACCTTGTGGTTCAAACTGACTTTGCAGTCTAGTGCATTAGCCCACAGCGCCACATCAAGACTCCTTAGCTTCTCTAATAAACCTCATGACCATGTCTATTGTCTCTGAATTATCAAACCCAGTTGAGAAGTAGAGCGTTGCGGGAGGGATGGTTGGTGTCAGAATTGGTAAAGGAGGAAAGAATGTGGAGTGATGTCTGACCTTAGCCGCCACAGGAATCAGCTTTGGGCTGATGTTGATGCTGCCTCCCCACTTCTGAAGTTACAGGAGAATGACATCAAAACCCCAGAAACCATTTTTTCAGCATGTGAAAATTCATTCATTCATTTATTCAATTTTAAATTACTTCTTGAATTTCTACTGTGATCTAGACCAGAGAGATATAATATTCAGCAAGACAGACACAGAACCTGCCCTCATGGGTTCCAAATCTAGGGATTCTAATTCTCAAAATTAAGATATCACTGACTAGCACCGATGGCAGAGCACTGCCTGGGATGAATGCTGGGTTCTGGAAACTCTCTGTATTCTCCTTCTCCGAAGCAGTCACTTGGTCCCCTCATACTCACCAGGAGTGAAGGGAAGACAGGGCCTATCCTGATACTGGCCACGGCACACCAATATATCAGCAAAGTTAACCCCACAGAAATGGACATCAACTCTGACCTACAAAGAAAAATGAGGCAACAGAGCCAAACAGGAAACATTGATGGAGATGAAGGCCATTCAATTAAGAGGGTAAGTCAAAGCTTATGGCTACTAAGGTTCTAGTTCATACAAGCAGGAGTTTGTTTCAAAGAAAAGGCGTTTAAATATGTCTCTGTGATCATGGATGGCTGCAGACAAGTTTTCTCAGTAATACACTTTTGTCTGATTAGGGTAACTTCACAAAAAGGTCCAATCAAAACAGTGGTTTCCGAGGGTACATATTGGGCCAATTAAATTCAAGTAAGAGAGGGCAGATCAAACCTACATTTTAACAAGATCCCTAAGTGATTCTTATAGATATTTAATATATTCTAGCTCTATGGTTGGTTGGCTGGTGATGTGATGTAGAGTCAGTTTCGACTCATAGCGACTCCGTGAGAGCTTTCCGAGGATGTAAATCTTTATGGGAGCAGAAAGCCTCATCTTTCTCCTGCATAACAGCTGGTGGTTTCGAACTACTGACCTTGTGGTTCGCAGCCCAATTAGTAACTATTAAGGAGCTCTGGTAGTGTAGTGGTTATGAATCCGGCTGCGAGCCGCAAGGAGAGCAGTTCAAATGTATCAGCTGTTCCGCGGGAGAAAGATGAGGCTTTCTGCTCCTGTACATATTTACAGCCTCGGAAACCCTGTACAGGGTCGCTATGGGTCGGAACCGACTCCATGGCACATAACAACAATGCTACCAGAGCTCTATTTTGTTGTTGTTAAGTACCATCAAGTCGATTCCGACCCATAGCGACCCCGTATAGCGTTTCGAAGGAGCAGCTGGTGAGCTCGAACCACCGACCTTGCAGTTCAAACGACTTTGTAGTCTGACGCATTAGGCCACAGCGCCACACCAGGACTCCAGAGCTCTCTATAGAGGACCGATTTTGTTAAAATGTAAATTCCGATTCAGTGTATCTGGGGTGGAAATCAGGTATCTCAGCAGGGGGCTGAACCAGAATGAACCTATTGGAACCTGTTTTCAACAAAGGTCCATGTTTAGTGGGACTTTCTGCCTGGTCACCAGTGGTCCCCCAACACTGAGGATCACTGCCTGCTTCACCTTTTCAAAAGTTCACCTTTTTCACACCAGATTCCACTGTGTCCCCAGAGAGGTGAAGAGACCTAGTGGAACTACCCACAACCCAGAACTAACTCCACCCAAATCATTGCGTATACTACATAATAGGGCATCTATTCACAAGAAAATACAGGGGCGTATCAGGCTTTTTTTTTGGGGGGGGGGGCAGACAGATAATTAGAAAAAGCTGATACTGGAAAGGAACAAAGGAAGCAATGGAGTCCCTTTATCCGTTAAACCAATTAACTGCGGGTGGTTATGCAAAGTAGTGTACAAATCAGAATTCCCTGTTTCTAAGGCAACAGCTCTGGGGCATTCAGAGAGAGGCTAGTTTTTTGAGCATTAAGGGAATAGTTGTCCTTTAACGTTTTAGGCCTGTTTGCGAACTTTGAACTCCGTACTGGGTCGCTCCAATCTCCTAGCTGAGCAATTGGGGACTCATTCAGGATGTAAATCTGCAGGGTATGGCTACAGAGGGCTGGCGCAAGGAGCACCAAAGTTTATCGTGAGGGAAGGGGGAGGAGAGGATAGCCCCGTCACCCACCTCGTGAGAACGGATAGGGCAGGGGTCGACCTCTTCAACGGCCAGGGGCTGCTTCAACTCAGTACAAATCGCGGCCCTGTATAGTCGACCGCTGCCCTGTCTGGCTCTCCTGCAACAAAGAACAAGAGAACAAGGGCCGGGTGACTCGGATCTTCCCCACCGCAGACCTCAGGGCTGCTTTTTGGAGCTCAGGAAAAAGTCAGACTTGCACCTGTAGAGCCACGCTCGAGGGAAGCACCGTCCCCAAGCAGCCGCCATGGCCTGCGAAGTGAATCCCGAGGCGAGGAGTATGAGACTGCGCTGCAGGAAGGGCGGGACAGAGCCGGCCACGCCCCGCCGTGTCCAAGAGCGCGGAAGAACGTCCCCATAGGAGCCGCTCGGGAGCCGGCACTGTGCCTCAGATCCGCTCGTGGTGCTTGTTCTTCAGACACAGCCCAGGCGAGAAGTACAGAACCACGAGGCCACTGAGGCACCCATCTCCCCAGGCCTCCCTAGAGATGGAGTCGGCTGGTGGGGAAACTAATAAAAGGAAAATAGATCACGAGATTTAATCTTGGTTGTTGGTGGGTTACGTAGTGGTTATGAGGCTGTCTGACAACCCTAAGGTCAGCAGTTCGGAAACTACCAGCGCTTCCGCGGAAGAAAGATGAGGAGTTCTGCTCCCGTAAAGATTTACAGCCTCGGAAACCCTGTACAGGGTCACTATGAGTCCTACTCCACGGTACTTAACAACGACAACAACAACATTTAACACCACACATCTTGTTGATAAGTGCCAAGAGTCAGTTCCAAAGCTCACAGCAACCCTGTATAGGGTTTCCAAGGAGTGGCTGATGGGTTTGAACCGCCAACCTGTGGTTAGCTGTCCAGAGCTTACCCTACAGTAGCATCACACTTGGCAATATTAAATAACGATTCTAGGGCCTTCGGCACGTGTAAAATCCTAAATGAAAAGAAAAGGCATTCGTGTCTACATATTCTAGTATTTTGCTATAGTTCAATTGTTATTAATTTTCTTATACTTACAGGATCCATTACACTAACACTATTGTTGTTAAGTGCCTTTGAGTCCCTTCCAACCCATAGCGATCCTCTATAGGATTTCTAAGGAGCGGCTCGTGAGTTTGAACCGCCGATCTTGAGGTTCAAACCGCCTTTACAGTCGAGTGTTTATCCTACAGCACCACAAATAATTCAATGTTAAATGATCCCACACTAACTTTTGCAAATCCGTGGAATATTTCCTATTGTAGTCAGGCCAAAACCTTGCAGTATTCATGCTCCCGATGCCTTCCTAGTATTGGACCTGGAACATAGTTGTTGTTAAGTGCTGTGAAGTTGGTTCCGACCCATAGCAACCCTGTATAGGGTTTCTGAAGAGCAGCTCGTGACCTTGAACCGCCGACTTTGCGGTTCAAACCGACTTTGCAGTCCAGCACATTAACCCACAACGCCACACAAGGACTTCATGGTACATAGTAGGTAGGTGATCAACGTTTGTTGATTGAACTACTGTATAATTCCTACATGAACAGTCATACTGTGGAAGAACATAATATAATCTGTGAAGTATTGTAAAAGTAGGTAGCTCTGTGTATCTATAGTAACAAATATATATTTACTAGCAATATAAGAGAAACATATATTATGCTGGGAAGAATGTTTCATTTGGCAGATTGCTTTTAAAGATAGTACATGTAGAAAGACATCTGATCAAAGTATAGCATCTCAAGTTCAAACCCCAGCTCTATTACCTACTTGTATGACTTTGGCTGAAATTTGATGGCTCCAGGTCTCAATTTCCTCCTCTATAAAGTGAGAGAACTGGGATGATGGCTCAATTGCTAATTTTTTTTTTTAAGTTTCTTATTGTGGATTAAGTGAAAGTTTACAGGGCACATCATCAGTTTTACATTCAACAAATCATACACCTTGTTTCATTACAATAATTATAAATCCCCTCCATGTACCATCAGTTAACAGTATTTCTCTCTATTCATTTTAGCTTTTTTAAAACAAACAAACAAAAAAGCAACAACAACAAAAAAAACCCACTCAGGCATATATAATAATTTACATCTCCAAAGGGCACATTCTGCAAGTCTGCCCCCTAGCCTCAGCCACTGCCCCTCTCCATGCCCCCATCTCTGCCTCCATCTCTGGCACTGCTGCAAGTTTGGGTGTTCTTGTGCATCTCCCCTCACTTCATATCAGCTGGATGCTTCACTCTCAGCTCTAGCCCTCTGTAGCTATGTCCTTGTCCATGGGCTCAAGTGTCCTCTGTTCTCACCACACTTTGGAACAACCAGCCCTTCCTCTTCTCTCTCTCATCTCCAGGTCAACAGTATTCAATGGACTGTGGTTGAACTCAGCCCATTTCTTCATTGCTGCCTTTCCCTTCTTCACCCACCAGTAGACCAATGTGGTCACCAGCAAGCTTACATGCTCGTTTGCGTGTCCCCTTTGAGTTTCAGTCTTAGAGGGAAGTTTGTCCCGAAGGCACTTGATTGCTAGCCTTGATGTCTTCCTGGTGAACATCTTGCTTATTCTTGTAGTAGCCAGTCATGCTGACATTTTTGTTTTGGGTTTTTCCTGATGATCTTTCTTTGAAGATGTATCTTCTGTCACTGTAGCTGTTCCAGGCTGGTCTGCTTGTCCTTTCTAGTGGGAATGTCCCACCTCAAAAGGTTCTGGATGGGACTCAGGATTCCTTCCACCTAAGGAACTGTACGCTACAAAGGTTTTGCAAGAGGCCTATTTCACTGGGCAAGTTGTAGAATCCCTTTTAGGTATTCCAATCAGTTATAG